GATTACAAACGAAGCGGTGGGAAAGAATGCGGGGTTCTTTTGATAAGACTAGAACTTGTCAAAGTTGCCATTTACAATTGCGCTTAAGTGCTATGCTACCTGTGCCCTCGGAACTACTTCCTGCAGTCCTGACGGAGTTCACCCCATCCTTCATGGATTTCCCGTTTGGGGTGGTGCTCCCTCAATGAGCCAGGCATTGAATTGCTGCGCGCATTTGAAGCCATATGAGTGGTTGTCAAAATTATGGTCCCTTTTTGGGTACCCTAAATAATAGGTGCCGTATTATAATATGGATCCAAAAAGGGACCATAATTTTGACAACCACCCATATCAAATGCCCAAAGGGCTTGCGGATGTACAGGATAGGTATAGGCATCCCAGCAACACAGACTTGTTTCCAACGCTCATGGCAACAAGGCATGGTTCGACTCCAGTTCTCAATCCAGTGGATAAGCGCCTTGAGGCTTGAAGCAGGCGACTGCACAGGGTCGGACAGGGTGGACCACTTGAAATCTTCTCTGGAATCAGCATCCAAGCAGCGTGACGCACACACCATGTCAGAGACCACGACAGCAACAAGAACGCCCCAACTTGCAACATCCAACAAATATTCAATACCCAAGGGGCACACAGGCCAACAACCATCGCAAGTTTGATTTCTTAGTCTCCTGGATGGAGGTGTGACGACCCCAAAACCTGACACGCTCCTGGCTTGACTGCTGTGCTTGAGCATGCCTTTGCCCTACCCCTGCGCAAGTGGCCTGCCGCTATCCGGCAAATGCGACGACAGCCACTGTAGCACAAGGCAGGTACTGACGCAACCTATCAACCGTCGTCTTAATGGGGTTTAGTAGGGAATAAGGGAGTACAATCCCTATCTAGTATATTCCCTTACCCCCTGCTAGCTTCCAGTAAGTCTTCCAAGCTTCTATCTGCCCTACTCCAAGCTTCTGTCCATGCTAAACCCGAAACCCTGCCATAAACCCTGCCACAAACCCTGGACCCTAAACCCTGAACCCGAAATTATGCGTCACCGCGGCTCCAATGCGAGCGTGACGATCCACGAGTTGGCGTTCCTCATCCCAAGCTTTACCATAAGGTCCTAAGTCCTAACCATCGGGTTTTGGTTTTTGGTTAGGTTTCAGGGAGTTTAGGGTTTAGGGATTGGGTTTTACTTATATAGGTATATTCTAGGTAGGCTGGGGCTTTAGGGTTGAGGGCCCAGTAAGGGGACCACAGTTCCAACCCTAGACTCAACGACAAATGGGCTCCTTGGCAGAGTGCTATCGGCACGGATGGCATCGATCACCCTGACATGTACTGTCTCTAGCCGAACCCCCCAAAAGGCCGAAACTTCAGAGCCCTAAACCCACCATAGCCTGAACCCTACATGTGCATTTTAGCAGTGGCCCTTACATGGGCTCCCACAAAGACCATTGCTTTTTTGAAAGCCGAAAGCCTACCTAAACCCTAAATCCTAAACCCCTAACCCTAAACCCTAGACCCCTAAACCCCTAAACCCCTCAACCCCTAAACCCCTAAACCCCGAAACCCTAAACCCCTCAACCCTGTACTTCAAGATCGGTGCGGAGGACCAAGGCTCGGAGGGCCGCTCGGGCGGAGGCACAGGGGCTTGGGAGGGTTGTTTTTGGGGTTCAGGGTTTGGGGTTTGGAGGTTTGGGGGTTTAGGGTTTGGAGCTTAGGGTTTGGGGGTTTAAGGGTTTGGGATTTTGGGATTTTGGGATTTTGGGGTTTGGGGTTTAGGGTTTGGGGGGTTTGGGTTTGGGGTTCAGGTTCTGCTTGCTACCATAGCTGTTGCTGCCCCGCTACTTCTTGTCTTGCTTCTGAGGAATCTCCTCATGCTTCCTGCATTCTCGGATAAATCTTCAATCCAGGGTTGCTTTCCTCTGCTAGCTGCTCTTAGGATCACCATGCACCATGAGGTTTTGTACAGTGATTTAAAATGCCAATGATGCAATGCACTTTACTAGGAGTACGGCCATTAGAAGCAAAGCTGGATGAGTCTGGGGCCCAAGGCTGCAGGACAAATGGCCTTGAACGCGCTAAGACTTGCAATAAGTGCAAGGGCCCGATCATTGGACATCCTTCCACAAAGCCCAGCTTCCGAGTAATGTGACACCAACACACAACGTCTCAAGAAGCCTCTTCCACATCAAGCCTCCAAATCCCGAAGCCTTTCTCTATTACAGACGTGCAAGTAGGCACATTGAGGGGGCAGGTCCGCTGGATGGAAGCCACATGCCGCAGGAGTGGCAAGGAAGGTTCAGAAGAGATTAACCATATTAGAACTAATCACCTGCACACCTGACTGCTGTAGACTTTCAGTTTTCCATTTCATCCCTTCTTCTTCTACTGATTTATGGAAGCCCTAAACCTTAAACCCAATTCCCTGAACCCTAACCGCTCAAGCCCTAAACCCTAAACACTGAACATTTCTCACAGGCAGCGTGCTCGCCCGTGCGGCCAGTGCCGTGTCACGGATGCTTCGCGCGGGCTCCTCCTTGTCGCGGACCTACACTCCCCTTACCTTAGGGTTTAGGGTTTAGGGATTCGCTATAAGGATCCACTCGCCCCACTATGTTCAGCCTTGCTCAAGGGCGACCCTAAACCCTAAACCCTAAACTTAGGCGTTCTTAGTAGGGAATAAGGGTGATATGCCCCCTTTATAATCTCTATATTGTCTTCCCCTTTATTCCCTGCTAAGAACCTATAAGTAAACCCAGCTTATCAAGTCAGCAGCTGCTTGAACTGTTTCGCCCTTGCTCCTGTCATTCATCCCCGAATTTGGTTTAGCGTTGGGGTTTAGGGCACACCGGCACTGCAAGATCCTGCATGCACCCTGGAGATCACAAACTTTAAGCCCGAGACCCTCAAAGCTGCAAATGTTTCAAGTCCTGAACTCTCAAGGGTCCCCTAGACCCTATAGCCCGCACCCCAAACCCCATAGTCCCTGAAGCCCTAAACCCTAAACCTTAAACCCCAAAGCCTAAACCCCATAAACCCTGAAGCCCTAATCTCCGGACCGCAGACCGCAGCACCTCCGGGTTTCAAGACTGCTGACGGGAGTTGAAATGCCTCTGAGTGGGGAAATGCAAACTAGCCCGGAATCTGAAGCCTCAAAGCCGTAAATTAAGTAGGGTTTAGGGTTCAGGGTTTAGGGTTTAGGGTCCCGAAACTTTCAGAAACTCCCTCACAAGGCAGGCATAAAGCTCAATGTCAAGTTGAAAACCCTGACACCACACCCACACAGCTCTAACCCCTGAACCCAAACTCCTAAACCCGATCTCTCATTCGAAAACGCCTTGAGCCCTAAGCCCTTAAAACCCTAACCCAAAACCCTAAGCCCTAACCTTATCTGTCCCCCCTCTAAGCCTTATTTCCTATTCCACAAAACCATAAGCCCTAACCCCATACCTTAACCCAACATCCACGTTCCGATAGTGGCCATGCGAAGCCTTGGCCACGACTTCCTGGGCCTCCCGGATGGGGCAAAGCCACAGCTGCAGCCAAGAGGAGGCCTGGGAATGTTTTGGGGTAAGCCCTAAATCCTAAGTCTTGAACCCTAAACCCTAAACCCAAAGCATTAAACCCTAAACCCTAAAGTGGGGTGCCCTTTAGAACTCATAGCTTCCAAGCCTCATGCTCTGAAGCCCGAAGCATTAGCTGCGTTTTTTCAAGTCACCATCGCCATTGTGATGCAGTTCAGGGTTCAGGTTTCGAGTTTAGGGCTAGGGTTTTAGGGTTTAGGGCTTGGCGCTGAGGGTTTAGGGTGAAGGGCTTGGGGGTTAGGGTGTAGGGCTTTGAGGTTTAGGGTTTAGGATTTAGGGCTTGGGGCTTGAGGCAGGGTTGAGGGTTTAGGGTTCTTGGTTTAGGGGCCTCATATTGGGTTTCCGAAAGGAGGGGATATCAGGTTTACAGTGGGGTTTTATGGGATACATGGGCTGCAGGGCTTTCAAACCTCAGGGGCCTATTTTGGGAGTCCGTATACGAAAAATTAGAAGTTATTGGGGTTGTATTGAAGCCCCCTATGTATGGAAAAATCGCGGGCGAGGCTCATCTCCACAGTAGAACGAGCAATCTCTTCTCCCCATACTAAGCCACCCCTATTATTGGAAACTCCCCACCATGGTATACAGTAGGAGGACCCCCCACCCTGTAGTAGTAACGTACTACGAATGTAAGAGCGCCCGAATAAAATCCTGGTTATCACCTGCAGTCACTATTACTGGGTGGGGGTCCGTGTAAGATATACATGCTAACGCCACATCGAGCTGGAGGAGTATTTTAAAGTGCGTAAACCTTAAACCTTAAAACTAAAACCTTATACCTTAAACCCTAAGCCCTGAAGTTATTTTAATATTAGGGGAGTGGATTGTTTATCCTTTCCATGGAGGCTTTGCTGAGACCCTTGTCCACACCCAGGCCCGGACGAGCCACTTCACAGATGCCTGGGAGTCTTTCACAAACGGAGTCACCCTAAGGGACCCGTGGAGTTTGTAGGAATTGTAAGGGGATTATGGAAGTCCTGTATAGGGATGATACAGGAAATGTTCTGAGAGTCTTAGGTACAGAATATGAAGCATTGAGGTAGAAGTCGAGTACTCGTGCGGGAGTTGTGGTGGTAGTAGCCGTGCTACTTGATTTTTGCATGTACTAGTTGGCGGGAAGCCCGAGAAGACCCAATAGCGGGCATGCAGGAGTCGGTGTTGTTGTCATCCGGCCTTTGGCCCATTTCGGTTTCATTCCAGATGCTCAGTTTGTGGCTTCGTTCAATTGGGGCACCAGTTTGTGGTGTTGGACCATCTAGGGATATCAATCCCATTTCCAGCTGCGTATCACTTCTGTCCAGTCCAGTTCGATTGGTGGTTTCGGCTTGATTCGCTTGACCCTGTGTTTGTTCTGACTGGAGTGTCCGGCTGGCGTGTGCGGGAGCTCGAGTACTTAATAATGAGCATTGCGTTCAGTGCAACCTGTATCGAATGATAGAGCACCCCCCCGTTATCGCAGGTGGGGCAACAGCAAGATGTTAACCGCCAAGCACGAATACATAGATACAGTACATGAGAAGATGGTAGTGTCCCACATTCAGGGGACCCCAACATAGATCACGAAATACTATAATCCTTATTGCAGGGGTCCCCAATAAGTTACGTACCACTAATTTTGAACCCCCCCCCGTGAACAATCATGTCCAGTAGGATTGGGCAAGGGTGGGCTCAGGGGGAACTTCAAGAATGGCCTCAAACTTATTGGTTCTTAGTAGGGGATAGGGTCATATAACCCCTATACCATCCCTACATCATACATTCTCATATTCCCTACTAAGAGCCAATAAGCAAAAGGTTTTTGAGGAATTGCGGAGGATCAGCAACGGAAATGCCCAGCAGAAACCCAGGATATCATATGACAAGGTTACGACCCTAAACCCTAAACCCTGAACCCTAAACCCTAAACCCTAAACCCATATGACAAGGTTACGGGGCAAGCTAAGCCTTGCCTTTGAGTCCTGAACCGTCTTAAGGTTACAGGGACTATGTTGGGTAATATAGGGGTTATATAGGGATAACGGAAAATAAAATGGAAACTATTATTTAGGGTTTAAGGTTTAGGGTTTAGGGTTTGGAATTTAGGGGTTGCTGTTTGCGGGCTCGGGTTTCTTCGGCGTTTGGGTTTCGGGTTAAGGTGTTTAGGCTCATGACCCTAATCAGGCAATGCCCATGTTTTGAGATGATGCAGGCTTCGGCATGTGGTGGCAAGGATGGTGTTCGGAGGTCGAATGAGGTCACCCCTGCAACTTGACTGAATATGGCCCAAACAAGCCCTAACTTAACCTTATCTTTGGGACCAAACAAGAGGCCTAGCATTTACCTCAGAAGTTCATTTCCTAAACCCTAAGAGCCGAGTGTGCATCGAGTTGTGGAGTCAGGGTTCATGGATGGAGTAGTTTTTCGTGACCCACTCTCCAAACTTGTGACACTTCAGTCCATGTTGTTTTATGTGGTCCAATGCATAGCCTATGTAGGTGTTATGTCACTGTAGGGATGCAATTTCAGAATATATATACATATATATGGTAGTTTCCCGAAATAAGGAACCCGAATGTAGACCCCAAACTACTATAGTCCTTGTTATTGGGACCCCCAAAAGGGTACCCATATATATATATATATAAACCCTAAACCCTATATAACCCATTATGGTAGTTTCCATTTTCTTTTCCATTATCCCATATATTATGCATATTATAGGAGAGACAAGTGCTCACTCCGCTCAGGGACATTTCTATGATGTGGAAGATGCGGTGTCCCGGTCGGCGCAGGTATTGTGGAAGCTTCCTTGGCGGTTTTCAATATAGTAATAATAACAACAATACTGGCAGGAATAGAAAATTTAATAAGATGTAATACAAGTAGTAATAGTCGAAATTGAACAAGGGCTGAACATGGCCCGAAAGGGTTGAATGTGGCCCGGCCGTCATACGCAAACACCTTCCTCCCTACGTTCTAAAACCTTGAAAGTGTTTCCAAATATTTCCCATGTAGTCCTGGCAATTCCATCATAGTCCCAATCAAAACATAAACAGTTTCTACCTTGTCCCTAGATGATCCCCCTGTAGATCATGCAGATATCTAATGAACGTTCTCCCTGAAGGTGGCAGAGCATCTCGCCACCCAGGGCTGTTGCTTCATCTCCCATGCAGTTCCAACTACATCTTGCCAGCAGCCTGGCATGCACCTGACATAGGGCCTAGGAGGATCTAGCAAGTGCAGGATTTTGCATGGTATGGTGGGTTGGAGTATGATCAGTTGGGATTTGGCTGCTGTGAGATCTTCTGCAAAGTCCAAGCTCTCGATTGAGTGCACCTTCCTAGGCTAGGATCCTTTTGCAACAACAGGAGAGGTTTAGGGTTTAGGGTTTAGGGTTTAGGAGAATCCTTAGATCCTCTAGGGAACCCTGTTTTAGCAGAGGCGCCTGGCAGATTACGTTGATGATGCCCTTGCTGCTGCACAGAAAGACGTGGCACTCTCGGAAGCTGGCGATGCACGCTATGCGCGCCACCGCTCCTACTTCAGAAGGCCCGTATGACGGTTCCGTTTCGGACATCCATGAGTAACTTGCTGGTGGTGAGTAGGGACCAAGGGAATATACTCCCTATGTAAACCCTTTCTACTGTATTCCCTTACTACTCACCCCCAGTCAGGTAAGTGTGACCCTGTCAGGCTGGCCTATGCTACAAGGCGGGACCGCATTGAGTTCACCCTGCCCATGGTGGAGGAGGTCACGGAAGCGCTGGAGGGTATGGTCGCTTCACTTGGCCAGGTCCTGGAGCATGTCGTGACTCGGAATGGTCGGCTTGTGGATCTCTCCTGTATGATTTCGGATCCGGACTGCGAGTACCAGCCCCTCCACTCGGACACTTCGTTGGAGCGGGTGAAGTTCACAGTGTTCGTGGCTCTGCAAGATGTGACTACTGAGATGGGTCCTACTTATCTGTGCCCTGCGACGCACAACTACGAGCATCACAGCGCACTGGACGTGATGCAGAAGATGGAGCTATCACATGCAGAGATGCTGGGCCGCCTCGGCGCGGTGCCTGCACTCTGCAGCTGCGGGGATGCTTTCATCATGAACTCGCAGCTCTTGCATTGTGGTGGAGGCCAGGCATCTACGGATGCTGGTGGCAAGCGACGCCGGCTGCTGTACGTGACCTGGCACTTGCCCGGCATCACACCTGGGGAGCATTCCCTGAGAGACGAACTTGTTGGTCGGTTCCGACTAGGCGACTTTGACGGGGGCCGGAAGCTCCCTCCGGACTTTGATGAGCAATACAGCGATCTCTTCATAGCAGCCAACAAGCTGGACGATCCCGATGCCATGTTGCAGTTCGCCCAACTCTTGCGTGAGCGCGGTGACCTGGGAGCAGTGGCCTGGATGCGACGTGCCTGCCGCAAGGGTCATCCCCTGGCTTGTTTCTTAGCTCAGGGAATGGAAAAGATCATGGAAACTACTATAGGCCCGTAGGTCCCCAAAAAAGGGGCTAGAGGGATATATAGAACTTAGGGTTTGCGGATTGGAGAGAGGAAAAGGACCTGACAACTACCCTAAAGTTGGGTGTTATATATGGAAACTACCCTAAAGTTGGGGGTTGTATATATATATATATATATGAAAACTACCCTAAAGTTGGGGGTTATATAGGGGGATCCGAGGTATGCACTTGGCTGAGATCTTCTGCTTTGGGGAGCTGGGGGTGATAACCGACTGGGAGAAGGCTGAGGAGTTGCGGGTCTATGCCATGGCTCTACATGAGCGCATGAAGCTGGGTTTCTGTTAAGGAATTTGAACTAAGTTACAGGAATATGGCTATATAGAAAATCTTGTAAATAACCGGGAGTCCTAGACAATCTTGTAAATAACAGGGAGTCCTAGAGAATCTGGTAAATAACATGGAGTCCCTATTATAGTAACTTAGTTTATGCTCCTTGACAGCAACCCAGGAAGTGCTTGGCCCAGGGCTCTGTAAGCCCTGATGAGCCCGAGCCGCCTCTATGCCTAAGATGCCACTAGGGACCTTGACCCAGACCCCCCCCCCAAGAGGATCCGACAAATGGAACCCTTTACAGGGGTTTATAGGTGTCTTTCTCGGAGTATATAGGGTTAAGGGGCCAAAAAATGGACCCCCCCCCCAATATGAACCCATTACTACATTGGGGAAACAGGGGGATTATAAGGGGTTCCATTTTTTGGATCCTTTAACGGGTCCGGGGATTGGGAGCCAAAGAGTTTCTTCTCGATTAGAAATCAGCTGACGCTTTCGCCGTGAACTGCGGGCCTGAACCCAGGTGTTTTTTTTTCACATGGGTTCTTCTCAAACTTATGGGCCCCTGTTGGCCATAGATTATATTACGGCACCTAGTATTTAGGGGTACCAAAATAGGACCCTAACTTTGGGAACCACCCACATGAGCTGGAGGCATGAACGAGTTCGAGCGCATCATAGGAATCATCGCAGAAGAGCTATGCTGCTAGTAACTGCAGAAATTCTTCGACAAAAGAGGTCATCATCACCATGGTCATAGTAGCAGGTAGTATAGTAGGGAAACTAATAGAACTTGGAAGAAAGGTCCTAGAAAAGATGAGACTGCATTCAGATCTGAGGTCCAGCATGCTTGGTGCAACTTCTCGGACTACACAGCGCATGCCGGGAGCCCGGGAGAGCTTTAAGCCTCAATGAAAGGGGGACTTGGTAAGTAGGTTAATGGAGATGTGTAGGTTGTTACACGGCTTAAAGGGCTTCTAGGTATAGTGCAAGCTCTATATTGGGGTCCCCCCTCCATTTTGGGAAACCACCACATGGGCCCCAAAATACTGCCTCCTCAGACTGCGGGTGTTGCTTCACTATGTGATGCTAGGCCAGCGTGGAAACGGCAGACGTTTGGATGTGAGGTAGGCTTAGCAATGGATTCCTAGTTTGAGAGTCGTGTTTGGGACGTCCACAGCTAGACGCAGCTTGTGTGTGGGACTGTTTGTCCTGTGATCATCTTGTGCGATTTCTGAAGAGTTGATACGGTACACCTGCCCGAAACATGTGGCCGCGAAACCCCAAACGCACAACACTAGGACCTTCGTATGAGCCATAGTCTTAAACCCCTAGTATCCCCCCTAATAACCCCTATAGTAGTCCCATATATAACCTCCTACATAACCCCCCTGAGGAGTGTAGACCATGATCCAAATCATCATCATAGGGTGTTGATTGTAGGGGTTGAGGCAACCAAAATCCTCTCAATACAAACCTCGAGCTCTGAGCCTGAGGTTTATAGTTCCTCCTAAGTAGATAGAATATGGAAGTGCCCAATATCATGATGAGATCCCCATAGACCCCATATTCTATCTACATAAGGGGGACTATAAGCCAGACCAAGCCCTAGCATTCTTACCCTAAAGTCGCAGCCTAAAGCAGTAGAATCAGGCTTTAGCGTGTAAGGCTCAGTAACCTCAAGAATAAGGATAGAGCTTCAGAGTTTGGGGTATGTGCGCCTAACTCATTAGAATCTGGCGTTGGGGTACAGTGATGACAACTATACAAGAATTGTCAGGGAATAATGCTCTTACTGATTCAGCCTCTACAGTCAGTAGCAAAATTTTCAAGTTGCTGCCGGAGCACCCAGTTGTATCCTCAAAGGGTTCAGTTCAGGATTCAAGGTTATAGTCCCCCTTAAGTAGATAGAATATGGCTTTGGGTATATTATTAAAAGATCTCCATATACCCCATATTCTATCTGCTTAAGAGAGAATATACGCCAGCGTTTTTGAACCTTGATGCCGGGGTATATATACAATATATCTCTACCCTGACTCTTCTCGTTGTTTGACACGTGGCGAGAAGTATGGTGATTCATCCTTTCGGCGACTGCGCCATGAGTCTTCCTTCCTCTATTGCTTCTTCTGCTGCATCAGCTGTGATTATATACTACCGAAGAAGAAGGCTTCGTGGCTGCCTTCTACGGACTTTGACAACTTACTATGACATATTATGGTTTCCATGATCTTTTTTTTCAAAGCTACTGTATAATTCCCATAAAACCCAAGACAATTTGCATATAACCTTATTTCGCACTATATATAACCTTCTATAACCCGATATAACCCTATATAACCTATATATATATATACACAGCACCAGGAGGAGTTAAGCAAGACCTGCTTCTGCCGAGGCCTACGCTGACATCCATCAGCCAACGGAGGACCCTGGCGTCCATGGTGTCTTTCCGTGACTGCCCAAGCTATTTAGGGTTTAGGGTTATAGTCCCCCTTAAGTAGATAGAATATGGGGTATATGAGGATCTGTTCTACTATACCCAAACCATATTCTATCTACTTAATCAAATTGTTGGAGTCTGGAGCCTCAAGCCCTCAACTGAAACCGGTTTAGCGTTTAGGGCTGAGGGCTTAGGGTCAATGAGGGTACAGAAGTTGTACATGAAGTCATAGTCAAAGGCGCAAGGCCGAATCCTAAAGCCCTAGCTGCGCAGCTGTGCACTCCCCAGACCTTCTAAACAAGTGCCCACGCGGTTTAGGGCTTAGGGCTTCGGGTTTGTGGCTCAGGGCTTGGGGTTTAGGGTCAGGGTTTAGGGCTGAGGGTTTAGGGCTTAGGGTTCAGGGCTCAGGGTTTATAGACCCCCAAGTACAATCCCTATGATGGGAACACCCAAAATGGCACCCCGTATTGTAGGAAATCCCCAAATTCTTCAAATTCCAATCCTACGTCCTAGGTTGTAAGTGCGCCTAGGCTTCGTTCAAGATGCAGGCAACACTCCCTATTACCGTCAGCCCTAACCCTACACGCTAAATCCTTAAACCCTAATCCCTAAATCTCTCCCTAAACCCTTAATCCCTAAGCCCTAAACCCTAATCCCTAAACTCTAAACCCTAATCCCTAAACCCCAAATCCCTAAACCCAAGCTCCCTGACCTTACACCGTAAACCCTAAGAGGCAGAAAGCCGAGGCCTGAATTCCCCGCAGCTCCTCCGCGCGACGAAGGCGTACAAGCCGCTGCTGGGGGACCCCAGAGGGTCCAGTGGTTCAGGATGTATTTTGGGTTTAGGGTTTAGG